TATATATACTTTTTTTTTTTTGGTACTGGGGCTCGAACTCAGGGCCTTGCGCTTGCAAGGCAGGAGGCGGAACCACTGAGCTAAATCCCCGGCCCAAGTAAGGTCATATTTTGAGGTTCCAGGTGAATGTGAATTTGGGGGAGATACCGTTCCACTCACGAGAAGCCATGTTACCTTTTGTTGCAAGAGGTGATGAGAAAAGTGTTTGGCTTCACAGATGAAGGTAGCAGATTTACCCTTCCATCAACACTAGTAGACTATTCCTGCTGAGGATGTTCTGGTTAGGTGTTAGACCCACCCGATCACAAGCCTGTCTACACACACGCTTTTCCCTCATGCACACATTTCCAAAATGTCCATCCCTCTGCCCACAGCTGGAGCGTGTCCTGCTGTTCCCTAGGGCAAGTCTCTGGTGGGCAGACTCTTTTGGGTTCACCGTGGGGCCATGGTGGGGGTGCAGGGCAGCCCTGCTAGGCTGAGTTCATTCTTTTCTTGGACATCTTTGAGGCCTTCCGCCTGCATTATGTCCAGGGTTGTCTGTGCTAGGAGCCCTCGGTCTGCAGGAGCTTCAGATTCATGCTTGCAGATTCGCAGTACCCCACCCTGAACTCAGGGCTGGGGGAGGGAGGGAATCCGAAGCGCATGCGCACCAGCACATTCCACACCATCTCTAACTGCGCAACGCCCTCTGGAATGCATTCCCACAGTCACCCAGATGTTTGACGCTGCAGATTTTGGAATTCTTGCTTTCCCCTCCGCCTGCTGGTGGGGCTGGGCTCTGACCTGCTGTAAGGATGACTGTGAACGTGAGGCCCAGGGGGTCCTGAGTTCCTCTCCTGTAACCCAGCTCCCCCTCAAGAGGGCAGCAGCTTTTTAGGGAATGGAAAACCAGGCCAAAGAAGACAACCTCCTTTAGGCTGGAGATAACCAAGGGTCGTTCCACAAGGGTTGGCTGTTGGTCGGGATCAGTCCTGGGTCCCCTGGAGCTTTCTTTCCTGGTATTGCTTTCTCCAAGAACATATGTGAACCTCATGTGAAGCAGCAATGAGTGTTCAGAAATGTTTGTTGAACGAATAACAGACTCATGAAGTTGTGGAATTCAACAGATTTGTTATTTTTCTTTTGCCGTGCTGAGAATCAAACTTCCGGGCCTGGTGCATACTAGGCAAGGGCTCTACCAGCCCCAGCTGCTGTTCTAATTCAGCAGATTACAGAAGTGCATTGTGAGGGTTGTTGTCTTCCCCCAGTCAATTAGCCTTCAGGCTACTAAAAAAAGAAAGAAAGGAAAGAAAGGATTTCTTTCAGCTTTGGCATAGAAAGTTCCTGACCTTCAGTCCAGATCTCAACGCAAGAAATAGAGATCGAGCTGTCCTTCTGTTAACTTCAGGGCCTCAGCCCTGGCAGAAGGAAGCAGCCGCTCTGGCCTAGGGGCCCCGCCCTCTTTCTCCTCCCCCTGCCCCTCCTCCTGTATCTGTCCGGGGGAAACAGGCACCCAGTGTTACCCTGGAGCTGTCCTTGGCTCACCTGGAGGATCTATCTGCTGACTGTCTGGAATTTGAAGAAGACTCCTCTGCTTTCCATACAGGGACAAACTGTGGGGCCAAATATTCTAGAGCAAGAGAAGACATGTTGAGAAAAAGTTATAAATATGATTGGTACAAAAATAAATGTTGAGGATGAGGAAAGAAATCTCAGCAAGTTACCAGTTTTTAAAACTTGACAAATATAGAGAATATAAAATACAGAAAAACGTCACCAGGGCATGGTGACACACACCTGTAATCCCAGCACTCTGGGAGGCTGAGGCAGGAAGATTGCAAGTTTGAGCTGTAGCCTGGGCAATTTAGCAAGATCCTGTCTCAAAATAAAAAAATAAAAAATAAAAAAGGGCTGAGGATGTAGCTCAGTGCAAAGGGCCTAGGTTCAATCCCCAGTACTGAAAAGGAAATGAGAAAAATCTGTGCTGTTTTTTTCTGCCCTTTTAGCCTGCATATTTTTGGTAACCTTTTCATATGTTAAAAATTTTGGTTCTTTTCCATGAAGAGATTTGAATTGAGGTTCCAGTTTTTAAAGCAGGACTGATCCAAACTTTGTTCTGTAATTTTTTTTTTTTTGGTGTTGAGAATGGAACTCAAGACCTTGCGCTTGTGAAGCAGGTGCAGTGCCGCTGAGCTAAATCCCCAGCCCTGTTCTGTACTTTTTAAAAACAATATTTCTTTCTTTCAAGCTCATTATTGGTTATGTCTTAGACATTTGTGAGATTGTTCTTAAATTTGGGAAAACCTCTATCAAGTGTTTTGGCGTACATAGGTGGGTCTTTCAACTTTTCTCATGCAGTGATTAATTCAAAATTGTCGTAACTGACAATACTCAGGAGCTAGATGGTTATCACTGTCCTCTCTGCACTGGAGTTTTATGGTTGTGGGGTTTGTGTTTTTTTCACTAGTAGGGCTTGAACCCAGGTCCTTCATTCTGAGCTACATCCTGAGCTATTTTGCATTTCGAGATAGGGTCTCACTAAGTCCTTAAGTTGTCCAGGCTGAGCTCAACCTTACAATCCTGCTGCCTCAGCCTCCCAGAGTTCTGGGATTACAGGTGTGTGCCACCATGCCCCACTGAGTTTTGTAATTTTAAGCTGTTTTCATAGATGTTAGATCAGTAAGAAATTTAAATAGGTCCCAATACATCCATAAAATGCACTTCTTTGTTAATGGGCTACCTTGGGGAGGGTGGCAATGAGACCCCGGCAGAGGGGTGCTGGTTTGGTGGTCTGGTTGCACCCTTTCTCCCATCTAAGGCATCCCATCTTTCTCATCCTGGGCTGGCTTGCCTCCTCCAGAATGCCTTCCGGCCTCCCCATGCCTTTCTCCCTTCTCCTACCCAGACTCTGTAACCCCGAATGGCATCCACAGCCCTTACTACTCTTGGTGTCTCTGGTGGGGACAGAACTGGCTGTGGGCTGGAGGAGACTGGGGAGCCCTTTGCGTTTGGGGAGGGGCCTTTCAGCCAGGCAGCTCCTTCTGGCCTCTTCTTCCCTAGCTGTGTGATGGGAACAAACCTCCCTCTCCACAGCTCTCCTTCTGGGGCCACACTGAGTGCCGCAGGAACACATGTCCTAGCTGGGCATGGTGGCACATCCCTGTAATCCTAGCACTTTAGGCGACTGAGGCAGGAGGACTGAAAGTTCAAGGCCAGTCTGGGCAATTTAGCAAGAACTTACCTCAAAAGAGGAGAAAAGAAAAAGGGCTGAGAGTGTGGTTCAGTTCGAAGGGCCGGGTTTTATTCCCGGTTGTTACCGGGCCCGGCCCCCCGCCCCATATCCTTAACAGCCCCAAGTGATCCCAGAGAGGAATTCCTCAGGAGCAGAGCTGGGCAGAGCCAATAAGCAAGCTTGGTTTATTTGGAAATAGGTGGTATCTAGATTGTAACTCATATAGACAAATGCAGCGTATCCGCATTCCACAGGCCACCACCCGGAGACAAAAAAATATGCGGTTCTGCATTTTTCTTTTCTTGGTAGTTGTTTTATTTTGGTTTTTAATAGACACATACTAACTGTACAAATTTATGTCGTACAACATGATGTTTCAATACATGCAGACATGGTGTAATGATCAAATCAATGTAATTAGGGTTTCTGCCACCCCAGATAGTAATTGTTCTTTGGTGGTGAGACTCAGAATCTTCTGTCTAGCTATTTATTTATTTAGGCACCGGGGTCAAACTCGGGACTTTACGCTTTCGAGGCAGGGGGCAGAACCATTGAGCTAAATCCCCGCCCCCTGCCTAGCTATTTTAAAATGTGCAGTAGCTCCTTACTGACAGTCATTCGGTTGTACATTAACCCCAGAACATACCCTCCAGAACATAGCCTCCCATCTAACTATAATTTTGTATCTGTTGACCTCATCCTGCCCTTTTCAGCCTCTGGCAAACTGTTCTGCTCTCTACTTCACCTTTGTCTTTTTTTTGGTACTGGGAATTAAACTCGGGGCCTCACTCTTGCCAGGCAGGAGCTGTGCTGCTGAGCTACATCCCCGGCTCTACTCTCTACTTCTATGAGATCAACAATTTTAGGTTCTGAGTATAAGGGAGATCACATGGTATTTGTCTTTCTGTGCCTGGCTTTTTTCACCTAACAAATTGTCCTTTTCCCTGCTGTCACAAATGACAGAATTTCCTCGCTTTTTACGGCTGAGTAGTATTCCTTTGTGTATATAAAGTGCATTTCCTTTACCCATTCACCCAGAATGACATGGGGCATCTTTTGTCTTTTTGATCCTAGCCAATATAACAGGAGTGACACGGTGCCTCGTGGAATGCTGCTTTATCCTGAGGCCCCATAGGACTCTTGGCAGAGACCCTGTGTGGCCGCCTCAGGGAGCCTGGGTCAGCTCCAGGCCTTGCACCTCCTTCTCCAGGAGTTGCCTCTTGGCTGTGCCCTCATGCTGATTGCACATCGACTCCTGGATCTCTGATCATCTGCTCTCCCTGGCATGCACTGTCTGGCCCCTGTCACAGTGCAGTGTGGCCTTTCCAGGAAAGCAAACAGGCCTGTCAGGGCATAGGGAGCAGAGATTGAGGGGACAATGTGACCTCAGAGTCCAGTCCAGGGATCAGATAGGGGACAAGACAGAATTTCTGGGCTCAGCACCAGCCAGATGTGGGTCAGCAGTGGGGGCACAGGTGACTGGCTGCAGATACACTTGGTGACAGGTGCACCAGCATAGGCAGTTGATGCCACCAGCATGTACCCAAGGACCAGCTGCATGAGCCTCTCCCTCTGCATGGACAAAGATGCCATCTCAAGGAGAGGAGGTGGCTGGGGGAATGAGCTTTCACATCCGGGCCAGATGCCTGTGACCCACCTCTAGAGACTGTTTCCATAGCCAGCTTCAAACAGGATCTGGCTAAAAGCTGCTGTCTATCCTCTGACTAGAGATTGGCTAAAAGGGAAGAAATTACACTGCATCTCCCAGTTAGATACAGGATGCAATATGGTGAAGGAGGGGGGCGGCATGCACAACAGTGACTGCAACACGATGAGCGGCAAAGCCTTCGGGGGGGCCCCCTGCAGCAGGAGAGCCAGGACCTTGCAGGGAAAGGACATTGGGGAGCTCTCACCCCCAGAATGTGGCTTGTCAGGTGAGAAGCTCAGTGGACCATCTCAGATACCCTCCTGGGTGCCCGTGGAGAGTGTTTCCCTTCCTTCCAGCTCGGGCTCCTCCTGCAGTGCCCGGTCCAGAATGGCCCCCATAGACTCCTTCAGCCTCCAGCTCCTCTGGCTGCCCACCAGGAAGTAGATGACTGGGTTGGCACTGCTGCTCACTGAGGAGGAGAGACGGGACAGGCAGACCCACAGGAACTTTACCTGAGGCTGCAGGCCCACCCAGTACAGGACAAACCAGTAGATGCCCAGGGGCAGGGAACAGACGAGGAACACAAAGACAGAGGCTAAGATGATCACATATAGCCGCCGGGGCTGCCGCCGCCGCCACACCAGGGTACTCTTCCGCACCTGGACAAAGAGGATGGCGCTCGATATGGCCATCACAGGAGTGAAGACCCCCAGGATGAGGGTGCCCAAGGCCATGTCTATCTTGAAACACTGCACATGGATGAAATGCCAGAACAGGTTGCAGAAGAAGGAAGCCAGCATGTTCATGGTGAAGGACAGCACCCAGAGTAGGGCGCTCACTATGGACGACAGGTGCCTGGGCCGGTGGCATTTGTACCAGAAGGGGTAGAGGGCTGAGAGGCAGCGCTGGGTGCTGATGGCTGTCAGCAGGCTTAGGCTGGTGGTGTAAGCGAAGTACTTCACCCTTGTCACCACCTCATAGGCCATGGCACTCGCCTTGGCTCTTGGATTGGTGCTCAGGATGGCACTCAGGTTGGCGTTCTTGAAGTCAGGCAGGGGCTGGGTCTCCAGGATTATTATGGAGGCCATGCAGAGGAGAAAGAGGAGGTCGGCCACCGCCAGGTTGAGTATGTAGACAGAGAAGGGGGTGCTCCGCAAGCGCCGGCTCAGCAGCCAGACCACGACACTGTTGCCCGCTATCCCACACACAGAGATGACTGTGGTCAGGAAGCTCATAGAAAAGTAGACCCAGGTCACCTCGTCCATCCTGGAGCTGCTGGTGGAAGGCGTCAGGGTCATCCCTGGAAAGGAAAATGGACCAACAAGAAACTCCATGATGGTTGGAGTATAGGAGACTTCTGGGAGCCTCCCAAATTTCTAGCTTTGGGGCTGTTATGCCAATTCCTCCAGCACCTATCATGATCCTCTCCCTGGGGCTGTCAGCTTGACTCTGCCACCAGGCTTCCCACTGTGGACACCAACTTGCTATTGATGTCCTTTCTCAGGCTAAGGTCTCCTATTTTGAGCTTATTTTCTAAATTATGGAGAAGTATTGACTTTTACTGAATGCTTTTTCTACATCTCTTGAGAGTATCATTTTTGTCCTCCTGTCATCTTCAAACCCTTTGAAATCATTTTCTGAAAATTAGACCTCAGAAGCAAAGAGATAATTAATTACATCCCTCAAATTGAAGCACACCTCAAATTGACCATCAATCCAGTAAAATCTCCCATGGATATTTCCCCTCATCATCTCTAGGCTAACCTTTTTGTCCTCCCCAACTTGTTTCTGTTCTGATCTGGTTAACATGGTCCTGGGACATCTACACATCTTATAATGTGGCTGCTGTTCAGAGTCTGGGGCATCCTTAGGAAGGAAAATGGACCAACGTGAAATTATGTGTGGCATGGACTGGGAAGACCTTTCACCATCTTTCTACACTCTTTTCAACATTAGGGAGGCTGCCCATCAGCATTTCAAATCACATAAACATTGTGATTAGAAGTTATGCTGCTTTTATTTCGTTCTAAAGTATGTGCTTATGTCAGGAGCCACATAATTTTGGGGAAAAAATTATTTCACAGTTAAATTACGATTAGGGCTGCCTGAGGCCTCAATAGTCCTGTGATGCTGTGACACTCAAGGGCAAGATTACATCAGCTGAAGACATCCTGGTTCTTTGAGAACTGAGTAGTAATACAAAAAGAGAAAGGTTTCACCTGAGGAGGGACAAATTCCTCATCAGTTTTACTCATACCACCTACTGTTGTAAGAACATTTTGCTCATCTCACCATCCTAATCAATTTAAGCTCCTCATAAACCTAAGATCCTTATCAACATAAGATCCTCATTGTCATAGGACTACTGCCACCTCTGAGACACCTGATACTACCTATGAACCCAATAAATAGTGGCAAGCTTGGGGTGCTTTTGTCTTTACTGCCCAGAGCAGCACTGATCAGGGTCAAAACCCAGCTTCTTCTCTAAGTCTCATTTCTTGTCTTTATTCTTATCAACTTTGTATTGTAGTGGCTCACAGGAGACCAGGACCTACTGCAGGGGTTCTGGTAACATTCCCTTTTCTGTTCCCTATATGCTTAGAATATATCCAGCTGGCTGTAAGGAAAAGTAGTTTGTTGTGACAAAATTTCATGATGTTGGGCAGCACTGAAATATGGGCCTCCACAGAGTTGGAATCAGTAGGTGACCCCACCCCCGGATTCTGGAGGTGAAGGCGGGAGGTACTCAGACTTGGCCTCAGGCCCAGGGACCCTTCCTTCCTCCCCAGGGCTCAGAACCCTGTCTTCACACCCCACCTCCCTCAATACCAAGCAACTGGACCCCAGCTCCCTCCTCTGTCCTCCTCTGTCCATCTGTCCTCCAACCCAGAACTCCAAACCCAGTTCCCTCCCAGCGTGGCATGTAGGAGACATTCCCCTGGCCACCACCACACTTAGATTCAGCAGCTGGGGCTTCTTTCCCCTTCTTCCTCAGACCCAAGAACCTACATCCCCATCTTGCTGCGGCAGGACCCCAGAACAGCTCTGGAACTGCTCCCTATCCAGTCCCAAACCTGGAGTGAGAAGTTAGACATACCCTTCTGGCCTCAGCTCCACCCTCTCCAGCTCTCAGGCCACACCCTGGGATGCCCTCTGGCCTGTGCAGGCCTGATGTGGATGTTCCTGCTGCTGCTGCTGGGTTCTTGGGCAGGTGAGGGGCAGGGGTCCCCCGCACAGAGGAAACAGGGTGCTGGGGAAGCTGTGTGCATGCCTGGGGGGCATGAGATGCACAGGGTGGCTGGGGAGGGGGCAGGAAGCCTGAGGCTGGGGCTCTGTCAGAGGGAGGCGTGGCAGGAGTACTCCAAGGGGTTGCTGCCAGGATGTGTTGCATGGGCGACTACTTGCAGACTCCAGTGGGTGTGTGCGTGTGTGTGTGTGTGTGTGTGTGTGTCTGTGTGGCCCAGTGTGGCTACCAGGCCTGGGGACAGGGGAGAGCAGGGTGAGGGAAAAGAATTTAAAAAAAGAAAACAAGAAAAAGAAAAAAATTTCATGATGTCCATTGACCCCATTTTACTTGTCTATTTCTTAACTGTGGATTCTAGCCATTAGATTTCCTAATGCCATTATCCTAAAAACACTGCAGAGAACATATTCATGCATGTCCCTGTTGCACTAGACTCAGGATTTTTCTGGAATATGTTTCAGAAGTGGGGTTGTCGGGCCATGGACTAAGCACTACCTGGTTTATTTTCTGAATAGCAGCTCCAGATTTCATTTTCATGCTAAGACAAGGAGAGTCCTATGTCCTCAGCCCCTCACTCACATGTGGCTTCATGCATTTTCGTCATTTTTGCCAAATGGATGTTTGCAAAGTAACACCTGGTGTTCCAACTTGCACTTCTCTGGCTCTGGTGAACTTGAATCTTCATCCATACATCTGATGGCCATTTGGGCTTCCCCTACTTTGAATTGCTTGGCCACATCTGCTACCTACTTTTTTTGAATTGGGTTTTCCTTTTTCCTCTTTCCTTATTTGCAGCCTTTCTTTGTATTTCTAGGTGGTAATTATCTCCTGGGTTTAGACATTGCAGGTATTTTTGTCTGAGAATTCTCTTTAACACAACAACTTTTTTGATGGTGAACTCTGGTAGGCAGACACTCTCAATTCTAGTAGAGCCATCCCAGTATGTGTTTCACCCTTAAATGGTGAGCCTTTTGGATCTTGTTATTTCATACCCCTGGGTGAGAAAAATATTGCTTATATTTTCCTCTATTACTTTCATAGTTTTTTCCTTTTAGATTTCGGTCTTGGATCCAATTAGAATCTATTTTTTATGAGGGAGGAAGTAAGAAGACAACTTGATTTTTCCTCCTTATTATGGGCCAGATTTTCTAATGCCATCCCCCATGTTGCCTATCCTTTCCTTATTGATTTGTGAAGCTCCCAATTGAAGCTTCCCATTTGTGAAGCTCCCATATTGATTTGAAGCTCCCATTGATTGTGAGGCTCCTCATTCTGTATTAGTGGTTTATCTGTCTGTTCCTATAGGATTAACAATGTTGTCAAATATGTACAGCTTTGTGTTGTACCATTTATCTTATATGATGAATCACTCGCTTTACATTTCTTTTTTTTAATTGAAGTAGCCATTTGTCAATCTTTATACATTTTAGAGTAAATTTTGGGAATTCCTTTAAGGAAAAAATACCTCTGAATTTTCATAGAACTTAGAATAGTAGTGGAGACTTGTGACCTTTATAATGTTCAGTCATTGTGTCCATACCATTAAATGTCTCTCCAGTCTCAGGTCCTTTCTTATATCCTTTAATATAATTAATAAGAGCTTTGAAATTTTCCTCACAAAAATTCTGTACATTCTTTATTGTGTTAATGTCTCAATATTGCTAGAGTCATTTTGCTGATATTGTAAATGGTATTTTATGACATCTAAAAAGGTTTTATTTATAGTTTTTAATGGACTTCTGATGCAAAAAATTGGATTTTTATTTTGTTTCGTTTTTGAGACAGGGTGTCACTATGTAATCCGGGTTGACCTTGAACTCACTGTGTAGCCTACTTGAATTCACAGTGATCTTCTTGCCTCAGCCTCCCAAGTGCTGAGATTACAGGCATGCACCCCACACCTGGCTCAACAGTTGGATTTATACTACTTGTTTTATGGTCCAGGTAGGGCTCCTTTTCATTTTTGTGTATGCATGTGTTTGTGTTTATGTAAATGTAGGAGCTCAACATCCAAAAGAAAAACTGTAATCGTGACAATAACTGATTTAATTTTTTCTTTTTGTTTTGTTTTGTTTTTGTTTCTTGAGACAGTGTTTCGCTAAATAGTTCAGACTGGCCTTGATCTCACTATATGGCCCAGCTTGGCCTTGAACTCATAGCAATCCTCCTGCCTCAGCTTCCAAGAGAGCTGGGATAACAGGTATGTGCCTCCACACCTGGCTAACTGATTTAATTTTGCTTGCTGTGTGGAGAATAGACATATAAAGTCAAGAATAGAGGCTGAGGTTGGCATGGTGGTGTATGCCTGTAATTCCAGCACTCTGGGAGACTGAGGCAGGAGGGTCATAAATTTGAGCCCAGCCTGGGCAACTTAGTAAGACCCTATCTCAAAATAAAAAAATAAAAATCAAAAAACACTGGGATGTAGCTCAGTGTGAGCCCTGGGTTCAATCCCTAGTACAATACCATCACCAAAAGAAAGAATAGAGGCTGTGTAGGGGGCCATTGTGAGCTGTGTTAAAGCCTGGGCATCTGAGGGTGTCTGAGGACATAATCCCATCATTTAGTGCAGGCACACGATAGGGCTTTGTTATATAATAATGAATCAGCATAGACAACCACACATGTGCCACACAGCCTGCCAGGTCACCAAGAATGTTTTTTCTTACTGTGTCTCAGTAAGCCTGTAAAAAACTACAATAGATTCTGTGCTGGAAATTAAAGTTGGGTTCCTGCTTTGTAATGTCTGCTCTGTGTGTGTTCTTTTGTTTAGAAACCTCGCCTGACCAGGCTTCCCTTCAGCCCACCATCGATAGGCTATGAGACCAGTGAGGAGGCTGATGTAGATGCCAGAATTGGTGGTAATGGAGGTCGTGAGAAGTAGTTGGGCTGGAGATAAGTTTGAAGGCAGAAGACCATAAACCAGATGAAATAGACACAGGGTAGGTTAGTCCTTATATTCAATCATTAGTATGATTCATTCATTCATTCATTCACTCACCCTGGTGAATTCTTACTGTTGTCTGGTCTCCTTCCATGGATAAACTGGACACCAGGAATGTGTTAGGGCTCCAGTTTCCCTATGTGCCT